CTCCGGAGATTTAGTAAGAAGCTTCTCATATAAAAATTAGGGAAATATCGGATTAAAATCGATTATAGCTTACTGCAAGTGATTATAATCGAAGGAACAGTTATTCTGCTATACAGATCGGTTAAAATTGTCTAACGCTGATTTTAATTGAAAGCCTCTCGTTTATGGAATATATAATAGAACTAATAGTTTAGTCTGCTTAAGAATTAGAGAGTTTATATAGATTGTCTCCCTTATTTTGTCACCATAACATATGCATAAATTTAATATAATAATATGTTTAATGTGTTTTATTTTGTAAAAAATAAAACATGACTATAATCAATAAGCAAGAATATAATAATATTAAAGATAGTGATGATGGGATGATGATCAGTACAATAACAATAAATAATGTAAAGACAAAGACCGAGAGAAAAACAAGATCATATATAGATCATGAAAAAAGGAAAATTCGAAAACACTATAGGAAAAAAGAAAGACCCAAAAGAAATAGGTCATGTTTTCACATAGGATATCTTAGGACAGGATTCTAGTTTTTCTTGAATGGATTCACTCAAGAGAACTTTCCAAGTAGCGCTTCACAAGCTGTATCGACTGCACATGTCATTCTGTGGTTTATGTAGTTGGTTGCTCCGAAAATCGGGCTTTACGACCAGAGTTTTCAAGTTTCCACAAAACCTGTCGTGATCCGCTCAGCAAAACGTTCCAACAAAGGCATTGTACTTTCCAAGGAGAGCTCGGCAAACTCTATCGGTTGCACATATCTGTATTTCGGGATGTGGCTGTGAGTGTGGCGTGTGTGCGATGTTGATATGGGATGTTGGTCAAGGCGAAGACCAATACCCACACCCACATCAACACCCCACACACGCCATATGCACACCCATACTCATACCCAATGGATTAATCTTTAAATTCATATAACTTGCTACAGAAACGCTCAATTATGATGCCCTAACAGTATATGAGAGGTCGCCATTAGATACATTACAGGACATCACCGTTTGCTTCTAATGGCTTCTTAACAAAACACTATAAAAGGGACAAGTTTGTCCCAGAACTTTTGCCCTCCCCCTGTAGAAGAAGTACTTGTGTGAAGTATGAATAAGACGCAGTTTGTGGTATTGCAAATCAACGATTAATCAGCAGCATTTAACTCATGGTATCCCTGGTTTTGAATATATGACAGTAGCTCTGCGTGTAAAAATATGCGTGTCTCTCAGGGTTTCCAGATCTTCTGGATTTTACAGAAAAACTTTGGAATTAGTCAGTTTTTCTAGAATCTTTCTGGTTTCCGGATTGCAGATATTTTCTATATTAATCATATTTTATCTGTCTGTTAATATTTATAAAAATTGACCAATGATTCGAAAAAAGTTTTGTTTTTCTTGTATTGGCCAACTGAAAAGATGCATTATTTTTTCTTCATTCTTTCGTATAGTGTCTCCCTTTGTTCTTATTCAACGACCATAAAATGAATGAGCAATGCAATTTGTAATTTACATTCATCATTTTCTTACAGACTCTGAGCATTTAATTAAAATGAACCAACAAAGGTTATTTGTACAAAACAAACAATCATCAAAAACGCTAGCAATACAAGATAAAATTTATGAGCCCAATTGAGTTAGAGATAGGCCAAATGTCAAGTATTTTTTATTTGCTTTTCTGAAAGAAAGAGTAAAACGTGAGAAATATAAAAGTTTGTTTGTCTGTCCAAGCCACTCAGATACGAGTTGTTTTTATTTTAAGACTTGTTGGCAAGGGGGAAACAGCGAACTTCAGGACTTCAATGGATTTTATTGGACTTCAATGAACTGAAATCCGCTGTTTCTCCCTTGGAAGTAGCACTATCATGTAGCTTTTTCATTTTGAGTCTGGGAAGAACCATCAGAACAAGTCAATAGGAATTTGTTAATACAATTTTTGTAGAGCTTTTCATGGCGCATCTTCTAAAAAATAAAACAAGATTTTATCATTTTGTCAAATCGAGCTGTATGCGAAATGAAAAATGTCGCAAAACTTTTGCAACACCCAGTATATAAGAAAAAAAGGACATGCAGTAAGTAATACGTCGATGCCATCACGGTTGCATACATTTCAGTCGATGCTTTGATTTAAAATTTGTTCGACCATCATAATGCAATGGGAGGCACAAAATTCCAGGCAAAGAACGACGAAAAGCAAAGGAACTAACCAATGACAATGATATGCCATGGATTGCTGATGGCAAAGAGAAAGAATTTGTTTTTCTTTTTCTTAGTGTAATATAATAGTTAGTTTTTTTCTTTTCTAGGTAGGAGGTCACGATATTTGAATACATGAAGTGCAATTAAAAAGGTTCTCTGGAAGAATGATTACTCGTTCCTTCTATTTTTGTGTCACAATAAATTGAAACTATTATTTTGTTTTCGATGGTCTCACGCAGTGTTTTAGTTCTCCTCTATTTGCCCTGCGAAGCATGAATTCTGATGAATCAGTCTTCTTTGACATAGTTAAAGAAAAGCTCCCAGTGAACTAATTATTTGTTTGTACAGTACTTATGTCATAATTATGTAGAACTGTATTCTAACTTGATATTTCGCGGTAGGCTATTTCACTGTAATTCTCCCATCACTTTTCGTAAGTATGAGTCTCGATGAAGAAGTGTAGATGGTTCGACTCAAAAGTGATCCAATACTGGCAATTATTTGCTTTACCTTGCATTCACGTGTCGTAATTATTTACACTCATTTTCTTTACGTTCTCTTCCATGTATGATGTTTTGTCACTGTGTTATAGTTCTCCAGCGTCTCTCTTAATGATAGTGTGCTACTATGAATTAGTCTGCTTTTCTTTTTGAAATTGAATAGAGTCCCAATTTGAGTTATTACTTGCTTTGCTTTAACTTCGTGTATTATATTCATTTAGAGTTTTGTGTCTGACCCGTTTAGTCGTATTTTATTGTGTTTTGGTTTTCTTTCTGTCCGACTGGTAAGTTAATCCACATGAACGAGTTTTGTTAGCACCGTAATGGATCATTGATGAGTATGAATAGAATAGCAATGCTTATATGCTGTGGAATCGAGTACACAATAAGAATGGCGAATTTCAGAGTTCTCGTTAGCACTCCTGAAAGCAGAACATGAGAGTTAAACTTTTAATCAAAAGGCACCCGAAACGTTCATACTTACTTAAGAAGGCGGCATTGAAGAAGAGGAAAGTGTTAAGATTTCGTAACTATTGATAACAGTAATGAATAATTGGCGAATGAAGGATCTAAATCTACAATCTATCAATCCCTCCAAGTTTTCTATTTATGTTTCAAATAGATAAGGCATATTTTTTGTCAATAATAACGTTGTTTAAGTTTGAAGCAAGACTTGCATGGTTGAAGAGTCAGATTCTATGTATAGCTTATTATAGTATCTCCAATAAGTTTTGCGAAGCACGATTGCTAATGAGTATTGAAGTTATATAGCGAGAAAATGGTACCACTTTACGAAATATCATAAAAGACAGATAACATGTAGCTATGGCTCTGCTTAACGAATGAAACCGATCCATGGTGTTTCACATTTTAACTCCTCAGGAATTATTCTAAAAGTTGTTTTTTTTTCATTGAAAAGAGGCCACTTCCCCACAATTTAGACAAATTTTATAAAAACCACTCGTCGCTTCGAAAAAGGTGTCTTCACCGATGAAAAAAAAACAACTCGGCAGGAAAACGTGAACTAACCATATATGGAAATAGATTCTTCAACCTCATAGACTTTTGTTCATATTTGAAAAATCTTTGTTTTTCACCAAAAAGACGCCTCCTCTATTTGATACACAGCTGGATAGCTTGAGTAAATGAATGGCTAGTATTTTCGGTATCTCACTCACTACTTGCATGTTATTCTTATCACTAGTAGTGAGACTTTGGTCCATTGTGTCTGTCCAATGCTCTCTTAATTAACAGATTTAAATATTTTCATTACCAGATAACTAGGAATGTGAATACCAATCGAACTGAACCTCCTCATTCCACGGACAGATGCGATGGGTGTAAGAGAAGGCTGTTCGCTAATTAATTAATTCCTCGAAACGTTGGAACTTCATTTAGTATATTTGCATTAAAATATACCTGGTTTTCATGGATTCTAGCTAAATATCTTAGTAGACTCTGATGAACAGTATTTTTGACTATTCAAAACTTTAACAATCGCTTCGAAAAGTTTCAAAATTATTTTGATTTTCGGGACAACCTTTTTAATTAAAACGTATAGAAATATATGCGATTCAATAAAATATGACTATGACAATTTGATACACTTTATCATAATAGAAGACTGAGTTTTCTATCGCGTTGCAGAGGAATGAAGGAGTAGGATTTAGTGCAAATCTAATTGGATAAGGCAAATATGCTGTAACATCACGTTCCAGAAGTAACAAAATTTATCAACTGTTAAATTCTTATTGAAAGGTTTTTCTCTGAATCATATTTTTTATTTTAAATATTAATGAAACTTATTCTCGAGGCTCCTGTTTGTAATCTGTTATTAAAATATCACGACTATTTGTAAATGATACAAATTTACACTAGACTTTTCACTGATCAATATTCATGAATTAATTATTAGTTTAATCAATTATAAATGTGCCAGTACATGCATGAGGCCGATTCGATTCATTCGTTTATCATTTCAATCGCTAAGATTCTTTTCTTTCTCACTTGAATATTTATGGCAATTTGCAGCAGAACCTCTGCGAGTCACTGTACATTAGTTCCAAAATTGTTCTTCAAAATGCTTTGATGCTCGTTACTTTATTATCGTCATACTTTGATTGTAAGGATGAGAGACGATACCCTCAAAACAGGACATTCCGTTATGTTTCGACTGTAGACTTTGCCTCTCTCCTCCGTTCTGAGTTCAGTAAAGTACGTTACACTTCGGTTCTTTCTTTCAGTATTATCTCCCCAACTATACTCCTCGCACTCACCTTACAGTCTCAGCGATTCCACCATGACTTTTGAAATCTAATATCTACTTTGAGTACTAAACCCATATGAAACACCCTTCTCTGCCATAATGATACGCGAGTTCTAATATGCCGTATACTTGTCAATAGTGAAAGGAAGCAATACATATTATAATAACGAAAGAAAATAGTTTGCAAATGAGAGTCTAAGAAAGCTCTGATTAATAAGTGAAAAACTATTTAATACATTTCTAAATAGCACTGGCTGAAATTATCATAATTCCATAACAATAAATGAGTTCACGGTATAGCTCTTATAAAGTATTTAGGCAATAGTAGGTTCAGATGATGATAAAGTGATAGAGCAAAACAAAAGTACTGGGAACCAACGGATTACGAATAGGTAAATTAAATACTGAGTTAACAAAAATTATTGCATATATGCTCTCAAGACAAAATAATGCATAATTCCCATTGTTTTATATCGTAAGATTAATGCTTAAATAAATCACTAACCATTAAACTTAATTTATCATAAATAGTTTACTTCTATCCCAAGATGTTGAAGCATTGTTTCGTCTTAGCGATAGTCATTTAGAAATGAAATAATAGGACTGCTAAAGCAAATGAAATGTATTGAATTTACAGGTATTCCAACAAGAATTATTATTCATAAATACACACAGTCCAGTCCCAACAATGATCAGTACTTTTTGTATTGTGCTGATTGGGCTCATTATCATAGGTCCAACCAATGAGCTTCCATCGTTAAAGGTGAGCATATCTATCAATCGATATTACTACAATAAACTATAGCTGTATTTCATTTTGTTAAGAGTGATCTGAAGGCACAAAACAAGCTGGCAGAGAATCGTAAGTTGCTATTGACATGTATAAATCAGATTTTTCTATTCTTTGCTTTCCTGGACAATAATGATTTACTAAGTATATAAAAAGACAGCAGTTCAAATTCAATCAAATTTATTAGAAAAAAAAGCAGATGGGGTGGACATGAGTGAGAATGTGTGGATTGAGTGTGGGTATCATACGACTGTCAGTGTGATATGGCTTTGTGTGAACAGAGAGACGTCACCTAAACACACTCACACCCAAGATAGTTCTTTTTTTTGGAAAAAGAAAAATGGTGAAGACTAAGAAGTTACTAAGACATATTGAATGAAGCTGACTGATAATAATGTCATTTTCTAAGATTTTTTCTTCATTACCCGACAGATGATTCAATAATAGTTGAGTGTATTTCACTTAGAGCAGATATAAACTGAAATTGAGTCGCTAGCGAAGTAGCTGATGTTGATGCAAGTGAGACGAATAATTTCTACAATCCAAAACTTATAAATAGTTGATAAAAATTGAATAAAAAAGTTCTCTTTTGAATAGTTAGTCGATCATATGTAAGCAATATTGCCGGTGTCACGACAAATTACTCAAGTACATTAAACAGTGATAGTTCTACTTTCACAAGAAATGGTAGCTCAGGTACATTTTATTATGAAGCAATTCAAGTTACAGTAAATAGAACTGGCAATTACACACTCAGAAGTAATTGTGCGACAGATACATATGGCTACTTATATGTGAATAATTTCAATTCATATGATGTCTCATCTAACCTCGTTAAATGTGATGATGATGCTGGTGGAAATTTCCAATTTTCAATGACTTACACACTTCAAGCTGGTACAACTTACATTTTGGTTTTTACAACATATAGTTCTAATGTTATGACACCATTTTCAATTAATGTTGTTGGTCCAACTAGTGTTTCTCTTCGTCGAATGAATATCATATCAACAGCACCATCAACTACTAGAATGACAACATTAATGACAACCGGTAAGCATTCTTTATTGATTTTCGACTCATTTCTTTTTCTAATGATATCATAAATCTATAGTCAGTCTCTCTATTTTTCAATCCCCTATATGAACTTGAGGGTTCTTAAAAAAGATTCTAGCTCTTATGATGATAGTTGTTTTTTTAAGAAAAAGAAAAATAGTGAAGACCAAGAAGTTACTAAGACATATTGAATGAAGCTGACTGATAATAATGTCATTTTCTGAGATTTTTTCTTCATTACCCGACAGATAATTCAATAATAGTTGAGTGTATTTCACTTAGAGAAGATATAAACTGAAGTTGAGTCGCTAGCGAAGTAGCTGATGTTGATGCATGTGAGACAAATAATTTCTACAATTCAAAACTTATAAATAGTTGATAAAAATTGGATAAAAACGTTCTCTTTTGAATAGTTAGTCGATCATATGTAAGCAATATTGCCGGTGTCACGACAAATTACTCAAGTATACTAAACAATGATAGTTCTACTTTCACAAGAAATGGTAGCTCAGGCTCATTCTATTATGAAGCACTTCAAGTTACAGTAAATGCAACAGGCAATTACACACTCAGAAGTAATTGTGTGATTGATACCTATGGATATCTATATGTGAATAATTTCAATCCATATGATGTCTCATCTAATCTCGTTA